CTAGAAGGTGGGTTCAGGGCAACCAGTCGGTGTTTCTCTCCCTCCCTCCCTAACCCTCTCTCTAAAATCAATAAACATATCCTCGGGTGAGGATTGAAAAAAAAGAAATGCCTCCTCAGACAGTTGCAGGCGAAGGGAAATGATGTCCTGGATCTGTGTTGGTGAGACAAGAAAGGCAAAATGTTTGTATTCGTTGAACCTCGGTGATCAGAATTCATTATAGTCTGTTTTTGTGAATGCTTGAAATTTTTTGCAATAAAAGTTGAAAATGCAGAAACTAAAAGCACTGGTTGAGAACTACAAATCCAGACCTAGCTTTGAAGATTCAGAGTTCCTAGACTCACTCCTCCCTCCAAGTCCCCCCTGCCCATCCCCCCCCCCCACACACACACACACCGCCCCTCACCCCCAGGCTGGTAAACACAGAAGCAAGAGGTCAGCGCACAGCCACAGGGAGGCTGTGTCTGGTGCTGGTGGGGCTCCCCCGATTATCCGAGACCCAGTCATTACCCACAGATGTCCTTCAGAGCTGTCCATCATGTCTGCCAACACCGTCCACTGTCCCTCAGGAGAAGAAAGTGGCGAGCCAGGCAGAGAGGGACGGGGAGAGGGAGGACAATGAGGCACTGTCCCCACTCCACCCCCGAAGTGGTCTGGAGGATCAGAGGTTTCGGTCAGTCAGAAGTCCAAGATTTGTGTACCACGGAATCTGCACGAAGGTGCACGTTAGCATCACTGGTCTCACAGGACAGGGGACTGGGGGGGGGGGCACTGAAACCTGGCACCCCAGGCAGTGGGGCCTGTGTTACTCGGACCTAAAAAGGAGGGAAGTTCTGACACCTGCTGCAGCCTGGAAGAACTCTGAAAGCGTCACGCTAAGTGAAAGAAGCCAGACCCAAAAGGACAACTATTACATGATTCTGCTCCAGTGAGGCGTGCGGACCAGGGAGGCTCTGGGGACAGGAAGTGGGGGAGAGGCTCCTCAGGGCGGGGCCCCAGGAGGCCGGGGAGCGAAAGCCAAGGGCCGTGGGGTTTCTCTTTGAGGGGATGAAAATGTTCTCAGATTGGCTGTGGTACTGGTTGCACACCCACTCTGTGAATGTACCAGAAACCATTCAGTTGCCCACTTTAAACGGGTGAGTTGTAATGTGAATTATATCTCATAAAGCTGCTTTTTAAAAAAAAATCTGCTCTGAGTTCTTTTGCATGTCCCTCAGTCTCTCTGAGGCTGAGATTTCTCATCTATAAAATAAAGATGACAACTCCTAAAACAATTACACGCCACCCCCCACCCCAGGAGAGGTTTTGTACAGGACACATGAGGACATTTTCCCTCCCGAACTGCCTGGCAGCCTAGTGACAGGCAGGCTGGAGGTGAAGTGTGCCACAGGGCTGCTTGCCCGGGACAGGGCCACCAAAAAGCTTGTAAATTCTTATAAAAATCTCTAATTGTTCCTATTTGATCTCATTGTTTAGATCAGGAGGCTTTAGAAACAGTCCTTAATCTTAAAGGTTCTCCTAAGAATGCGCTGGTTGGTGTGGCTCAGTGGATTGAGTGCACCAGCCTGCAAACTGAAAGGTCGCGGGTTCGATTCCCCTTCAGGCACATGGCTGTGTTTCGGGCCAGGTTCCCAGTTAGGGGCGTGCGAGAAGCAATAGATGGACGTTGCTTCTGTCGCACGTCGATGTTTCTCTCCCTCTCTCCCTCCTTTCCCCTCTCTCTAAAAATAAATAAATAATATTTTTTTTAAAAAAAGATTCTCCTAAGAAATCTCCACAACTCAACCAACTCCACCCCCCCCCCATGCTTGCTGAGGCCACGAGCTCCATGGCAGGGGGGTGAGTCCAGGGAGGCCCTGGGGAAACCGGCAGGAGCCCAGCTCCTGCTCCTGGAAGCTGGGCTGGAAGTGCTGGAGGGGCAGCACCTCAGCTCTCTCTAGCCCAGTCCAACGAGTTGTGCATTGCACTGGGTGGGAAGGGCGCTCCAGGGGCAGAGCCTGCAGACATGACCAGAGGTCATGGGCACCGGACACTGCCCACACCCAGTACCCGTGTCACTCAAGACTCCTGATGCATTTTTTCCCAGACTTCCATCCTCTGAGCAGCTCGCTGCTCCTGGGATCACCTCCCAGAGTCCTCAGGGTCAAGGCTTTTGTTTGCTCATCCAAATTTGGTAAGGAGAAAAAAAAGGGAAAAAATAATTCTTTTTAAAAAAGATCTTAGTGACAGATAACACTGCCCCCCTGCCCTGCCTGCCTGCGAGGTCCCAGCCCTACTTCTGTCTGCCTCCGTTTCCTCAGAATTCCAGCCCAGAGGATGCTGCTGAGGAAGCCAGCAACAAATGAGGACAACTGAAATGCCTGCCTGTGTCCACTAGTTCAGTGGAATATTATGCAACCATGAAGTCTAACCGTTTTAGGCAAATACTGTATGATAGCACTCATATATGGAACCTAAAAAGCCCAAATGCTCAGGGACAGAGACTAGAATGGCGGCTGCCAGGGGCCGGGGGGATGTGGACGCGGTCAGAGTGCACCGACATCCAGCTGTCAGGCGGGCAAGCTCCAGGCCCTCACGTACAGCACAGCGGCACAGTTGACAAGACTGTGTTGCCTTCCTGACAGTCGCTGAGAGAGTAGGTCTTCCACGTCCACTTCAGGAAGGAAAGGTAATTACGTGACACAATGAAGGCGTTGGCTAAGGTTATGGTGGCGATCATTGCAAAATGTATTGAATCAACACCATGTGCACCTTCACCTTATACAATGTTATTTGTCAATTATATTTCAACAATGCTGGGAAAAGTGATCGCTTTGAACACTATGTAAATGTTATACTGTCAAATCACAGACCGGGGCACTCGGTTGTGTTTATGCCCGAGTTACTCTGTGTGTTATTGATATTAGCAAGAGTAGGAGGACGTGAAAAACACTCAAGCTAGTGATGTTTAGTTGTGGATGAGAGTGACTCAAATTTCTTTTCCTGTTTTTGTTTCTCTTAATGTCACCAGTTTTTTTGAGTGTGGAATAGACACTTTTTTCTCAATCAGTGGGGTTAAGATAGTTTCACACCGTCCAGCTGGTGTGGAGCCCTGAGCTCGTTGTTGGCCCGGGACTGTGGATATGCTAACTGGGACAGCCTGGGGATTTCCTCTGCTCTGGGCCAAGAGGGGATTTGGGGATTACAGAGGGACTTTAAAGTGTCTCTAAGGACTGACCCTGTGCAGAAGGCAATCAAGGAAAATGGCAGGGAAAGACACACAGGCCCTCACCTGCTCACAAAGGCTGGTTCTAGAATCGGCATCCCCCCTCCCCTCCCCCACCCCCAGGAATTCTGCTTGTCCCTCTGGCTTCACATCCTCCTCCGGAAACTTTTACAGGCCATGCCTCCTAGTGCTCCCTCTGCAGGCCTGTGTCCTAGGAAGGGCAGAGCAGTTTACAAATGTCTCCTTGACCAGGGATTTGTAGCGGTAATCCCCACCCGGAGAGAAAATAAAATGCCAGCCCTGGCCAGGTAGCTCAGTGCCAGCACGCCAAGGCGGAAGTCAGGGCACGTGCAAGAATCAACCACTGAGTGCATAAATGAGTGGAACAACAAATCAATGCCTCTCTCTCTCTCTCATCAATCAATAAAAAAAGAAAGGAAAGAAAACCCTGGCAGTGAGGGACCTTCAGTCTGACTTCCTGCCATCTGAGGTGCAGCCTTCCGCGTGCACTGGCGGGGCGTCCGGGCTTCAGGCGCGCCCCGCTGCCAGGGTGCCCAGCACCCTGTGTGCAAGTCCCCTGGACTCGCCAGCCCTACTCACAGGAAAACTCTCCTGGATGATCAGCTGAACCTCTCGCTCAGCCAGGGGACAGGTCGGGTTGGACAGAAAGAGGAGGCTCAGGGCAGGCTGCCCTTTCCCTGGAAAATGACGGGAGACCCATGATGGTGGGTCTACGGGGAGGACGCGGTGCGTGCGTCAGCACACGAGCTGAGCCTCTAGCTCGAAGGGCGAGACCCCCTTTCTCACCACCTCCCGACGTCCCACCTCAGGATTTTATATTTACACATGCTAAGAATACCTTAGGAACACTTAATTGTGTTGTACCACTATGACTTAAGAAGTAAACATTTAGTGAGCACGTACTGTATTCCAGGCTCTAGGCAGAGCTAGGAAGTGACCTCCAAGGTTATTCCGGTGTCTTTATTCAAAAGATGAGTAGCCCTGGCTGGTGTGGCTCTGGGGGTTGAGCACCAGCCTACAAATCAAAGGGTCACTGGTTCAATTCCCATTCAGGGCACATGCCTGGGTTGCAGGCCAGGTCCCCAGTGGGGGCCATGTGAGAGGCAACCACACACTGATGTTTCTCTCCCTCTCTTTCTCTCTCCCTTCCCCTCTCTAAAAAATAAATAAAATCTTAAAAAAAAATAAAAGACGAGCAAGCGGGGGCCCCAAACCTACCCACAGCCACCAGCTAATTATTAACAACAGAGCCAAAACCACAGCCTAGACTTCCTGACTGCCTGGCCCCTGCTCTTTCTGCCACAGCCAAGGACAGACACTTTGAGAGCAGATGTTCAGGGTCCAGAGTGTGGGGAAAAGGAGCTAATGAGAAAATTTAAGCTTCTGGAACTGAATCTGTGTACGTTGAGTGAATGAGACAAGTAAGTTAGCCAAATAACATCTCAGCATTTGTGCTCCACACACGCCCAGTTTCTGCTGTGTGCAGCAGACACACGTTCCTGGCTGGGTCTTCCTCCCCGGGGACGCCCACCCCAGCAGCTCGTATGACCTGGCACCTTCCTCCCACCGCAGCCAAACATCAGGTCGAACCATAGGAAGCTGCCATCTTTATAGGTCAAAATGTTAGAATATTGCCAACTCCATATGGTCCAACCAAGCACATCCTCACATGCGCATTAATAAGTTGTGCACAGAGACCACCCAAAGGGGAGGAAGAGGCACTGGGCTTCCGTGTCCCCGCATAGCTCTGATCCCGGGTCGGGAGGCCACTCACTCTTTGACTTCCTTGGAGGAAAAGTCCAGGTAGCGGTTACTGATCCACTGAATCTCAAACCAGTCCCGAAAGCCATTGTTGCCACAGCATCGGAACTCGATCTGCAGCATGTCGATGGTCTTCTTCATGAAACACCGGCCGGGCGTGTCCGTGTCCCGGTAGTACTTCATCCCGTTCCTGAGCCCGTGGGCCAGGGTGCTCTCCAGGGAGCCTCGCATGAGGAAGCAGCAGAGGGCCACCAGGAAGAGGACCGCGTTGAAGAGGACGCAGACGGCCAGGTATGGCTTCAGCCAGGGCTTCCACTTGGCGTACTTGGCAGGGTCCAGAGCATCATAGCAGATCTTGCCGGCCAGAGAGTTGAAGACACAGGACAGGAACCCCACCCCTATCAAGGAGTTGGGCACAAAATGGCTCTCTGAATTATTCATCACATCGCTCCTCTTCCGAAGCTCAATCTTTAGGAACAGCCCTAGGCTGAAGATGACGATGCCAGCCAGCACGGAGAGCCAGTTCATGAGCCAGAGCCCTTGGGCCAACTTGACCCGTTTCTTCTGGTCGAATTTGATTTTCAGCAGCGCCATGCTCGCAGGGTGCAGGTGGGGCAGCCTCCCACGGCGCAGCTCCCTCTGGTGACCTTAGCGAGCTCAGGGCCTGAAGACTCAGGGCCGTGGGAAGGGGGCAGACAGTCCGAGTTGCAGGGAGCTCCTCTGGGGGCTGCCCATGTTGATTGACCCCCTCGCCTGGGACCCTCGTTAACTCAGTAGTCACAGCTCATGAAGGGCCAGTCCTCGGTGTTGTCCTGCAGCTCCCTTCCCAGCCAAGAAGGGACAGCCTGAAGGCAGCAGATTAAAAGTGGGATACTTGAGACTTCTTGCTAATCTCTTCAGCCAGGTTTATCCCATTAGATAAAGCCTCGCCAGTTTCCAAACATGCTCAAAGGGCGCCTCCGTGGACACGCTGGAGCAGAGAGCAGGGTTCGGCTTGGAGAACCAGGAGGGAAAGGACAAGACGGCCAGAGCAAGGGGCTTGATCTGAGTCTGGCTCAGACCACAGGTCTCCCCGGAAGCACATTTCCAGGCCAAAATTTAAAACTCCTTCAAAATTCAAAACTTCCTGTGAACAAAAGACATCATTATTCCAGTTGAAAAGTGACAGATTATGAGAAAACATTTGCAATACGTAAACAGCAACCAAAAAGAATGAATAAGCAAGTCTTTTTTAAAGATTCTATTTTTTTATTTTTAGAGGAAGGGAAAGGGAGGGAGAAAAAGAGGGAAAAAGCAATGTGTAGTTGCTTTTCACATGCCCCCTACCAGGGACCTGGCCCACAACCCAGGCATCTGGGTTGCATCAGGCATCCAGTGCTCTGACTGGAAACCCAACCAGCGACCCTTTGGTTCACAGGCTGGTGCTCAATCCACTGAGCCACACCAGTCATGGCAGTAAGGGTTTTTTGTTTTGTTTTTTTTTTTGTAACTCTCACAATTTCACGATCAAAAGATTAACAATCAACTGGGAAAACAGGCCAAAGGACAGGAACAAACTATTTATAATAAAGGAACTTGAAAAGTCCAACAATCTGGAAAACATGTTCCATCTGAGTAAAAAACATGGAAATGCAAACTAAAACAATAATAAACCCTCTCTCTCCCAGGAACATACATACCCACACCTTCCCCTACTCCCTCTTTTCCCTCAACATGTGTGCATGTCCTAGACTCTAAGTATCCCCAGGAGACTTGCAACCTGGGGAGCAGTGGGCAGCAGCAGCTCGTCCCGGGCTGACCCCAGGTACTATCCCCAAAGCCCCCCTTTCTCTGACTTCCCAGGGAGCCAAGGCAGCCCAGGCCAGGCTCTCCTGTTGCTGCTTCTACCCTAAGCCCTTCCTGTTTCACTGTCCCCGGCTGTAATAAACATACTCTCAAAGTCACCTGGACTCGTGCTGTGAAATCTTCCGTGCGTGAACTCAAGAACCCACACACTTACCAGCCAGCCCGAGGCAGACCTGCTCCAGGCCAGGCTCCTGTCCGGTCTCATGTTAACCCAGATGCACAAGAACAATGGACTGGGCTTGCCTCAGTCAAAGATACTCCTTTTCTAAAAAAGTCATTCTCAGGGTGTGACTACTCACCATGACCTGCCCAGTTAGGAATTTATGATCAGGTCACCCTGTGAGGTTAATTTCCATCATTGCGCATGTCAGTTTTACACAGAACCCCCTTTTCCATCCACAATGGAATTCCCTAGCCTTTAGGGAATATAAGGAGGTGTCTCCTTGCAGCTGTGATTTGCGCTTCTCTAATGATTAGTTATGCTGAATGTCTTTCTGTGTGCATATTGACATCGCAGTGGGTTCTTTGGTGAAATGTCTAGTCAAGTTTTTTGCCCACTTTTTAATTGGGCTGAATTTTTTGTTGTTGAGTTGTAGTAGTTCTTCATATGTTCTGGATGGTAATCCTTTATCAGATATATGATTTGTAGTTGATTTTTTACCCTCTTGATAGTATTATTTGATGTACAAAAGTTTTTAATTTTGGTAAAGTCCAAAATGTCTACTTTTTTCTTTTGTTGCCTGTGCTTTTCGGGTCATAACCAAGAAATCATTGCCAAGGCCAATGTCATGATGTTTTCCCTCTGTGTTTCCTTCTTAGAGTTTTATAGTTTTCATTCTTTTTTTTTAATAAGAGAAAGTTTATTTAGAAAGTTGTGAAGGTAGCACAAGTGAGCCACAGAACAAATGGGTTAAGGAAACAAGTCACAGAGGTAGATGAAGGGCCCTGGGAGCTTCAGAAAGCACACTTGAAAAGACAGACTCAAAGGGGCGTGCTCTGGGGGGAGAGAGCACGGGGGGAGGGGGAGAGAAAGCACTACAGTTTTTGTTCTTATGTTGAAGTCTTGATCCATTTCGAGTTAAATTTTGTAAATGATTTTAGGTTAAGGGTCTAACTTTGTTCAGCACCGTTCATTAAAAAGACTGTCCTGCCTGGGCTGGTGCGGCACAGTGGACTGAGTGCCGGCCTGTGAACCCAAAGGTCACCAGTTCGATTCCTAGTCAGGGCACATGCCTAGGTTCCGGGCCAGGTCCCCAGTGGGGGGACATGTGAGAGGCAACCACACATTGATGTTTCTCTCCCTCTCTCTCTCCCTCCTTTCCCCTGTTTCTAAAGATAAATAAATACAATCTTTTAAAAAGTAAAAAATAAAAAGATCCCTTTTCCCAATAGATAATGTTGTGCCTTATGTTTTCATAATGACAACTAAATCAAAACAATTCAAAATGTTGTACTGGCTAAATGAAACACCTACAGACTCTGTTTTGGCCCAAAGGCCACTAATTCGCAGCGTGTGCCTTAACTTCACTTTCACATTAGACCTTCCAAATGAACTAAGGGGAGAGCTAGAGACTCAGTGTTGCCTGTCAGGGCCAACCAAGCATTGTACCAGGTACTGGCCAGAAACTGGTCCAAAACTTAGTAAGTTCAAGTCTTAGCATGAAGGAGTTCAAAGCTGAGTGAGACTTGTGAAAGCATAGTTTTATTTTGGTGTCATGTGAGTAAATGCTTATAAATAAAGGGACTAAGGAGAGAGTAAGTGAGGAAAAGAGTATCAGAAAGAGTTTTTAAAAATGGGGAACAACGGGAGGGGAGTAGAAAACCAAAACAAAACAAAACAGTAGTAAAATGCCAAAATGGATCCATCACATTGAACATCTGTCAAAATTCTGTCACCAAACAGTGAAAACAAAGATAGTATAAAAGTAGATATATATATTCTTGATGAGTCTGTAAATTTATTATTATCATTATTTTAATAAGCTTCATTTCTTTTTTTTAAGGTTGTATTTATTTATTCTCAGAAAGAGCAGGGGAGGGAGAAATAGAGGGAGAGAAACATCAGTGTGTGGTTGCCTCTCATGTGCCCCCTACTGGGAAACCTGGCCCGTAACCAAGGCATGTGCCCTGACTGGGAATCGAACTAGCAACCCCCTGGTTCACAGTCGGGCTCTCACTCCACTGAGCCACACCAGCCAGGGAAATAAGCTTCATTTCTTAAAGCAGCATTAGACTTATAAAAAAAAAACTAAACAGGAAGTACAGAGTTCTCATAATCTTCTTTTCTCCAAGCAGTTTTCCTTATCTTGTTACAATGGATGAAACAATATTGATATATTATTGTTAACTAAAACCCATAGTTACATTAGGGTTAACTCTTTGTGTTATACAGTTCTATGGGTTTCGCCAAATGCACACCTTCACGTCCCCACTTGTTAGCATATCATGCAGTATCACATGGAGTCGTCTCACTGATCTAATAACAACCCCTGTGTTCTACTCATCCCCCAACTCTCCCTGCCCAACTCCAGGCATCCACTATCTGTATAATTTTGCCTTTTCCTTTTGCCTTTATAATTAAAATCATAAAGTATGTCATCTTTTCAGACTTGTTTTCTTCCCTTAGCAATATGCAATTAACAGTTCTCCATGTCTTTTTGTGGCTTTATATCTCATTTCTTTTTTGTTTTATTTTATTTATTTATTTATTTTAGATAGGGGAAGGCAGAGAGGGAGAGAAACCTGAACCACAACCCAGGCATGTGCCCTGACCAGGAATCGTACTGGTGACCCTTTGATTCACAGGCTGGCTCTCAGGCCACGGAGCCACACCAGCCAGGTGTATCTCATTTCCATTTTTAGCTGAGTAGTGTTCCAGTGCATGGATGTGCCACTGTTTGTTTACCCATTCACCTATTCAAGGGCATCTTGGTTTGCTTCCGATTTTTGGCAATTGTAAGTAAAGCTGCTATAAACATTTGTGTGCATGTTTTTGTGTGAATTACCTAGGAACATAATTGCTGGATTATATGGTAAGACTGTGTTTAGTGGAGTGAGAAACTGCCAAACTGTTTTCCCAGGAGACTGTACAGTGTGCAGCCCCACAGGCGATAAGCAAGAGCTCCCGCTGCTCTGCACCCTCACCAGCATCTGCTGCTGGCAGCGCTCTGCGTTTTCGCCATTTTAATAGGTGTGTAGTAGCCTGTCACTGTTGCTTGAATTTGCTTTCCTCTTGTGATGTAAGACATGGAGCATCTTTTCACGTGCTTATTTGCCATCCATGTATCTTCCTTCGTGAGGTGTCTGTCCAGCACTTTTTACTTGGATTGTTTTCTTCAGACTGTAAATTTTGTAGCCTTTTAAGATAATTTATTTATCCCTATTAACATTTAAAAAGCACATTCCCAGTGATTCAGCAGTTCCACTTTTTAGAACAGCTTGTGCATAAGCACAAGGAGTTTTATAATAAATCAATCTTGCCCTCCAATTCATGTCCACTTAATACCAAAGAATGCCTCATAATTAGAAAGAGCGCCCATGAGCTCAAGGCAGTAAGTGGGTCAAATCTCCAAGGTGCAATCTCCTTTCTTTCCCTACGTGCATTTCTTCCATCAGATTCAGCACCTGCACACATTCTTTAAGATCTCCAAATCACTGAGAAAACCGGAGGAGTATACGTCCACAGATAGACGTATGAGAACAAAGCAACGAGACAGGAGGTTTTTTCCTCCAGTGTGTCACTGGACTAAAGGGGTCCGTTTGCCTGTGCACATCAAAGTGAACAGGAGCCCTGGACAGGCAGCTCAGTCGGTTAGAGCATTGTCCCAATGTGCCAAGTTTGTGGGTTTGATCCCCAGTCAGGGCACATGCAAGAATCAATGAATGAATGCATAGATGAGCGACACAACAAATCGATGTTTCTGTCTCTCTCTAAAAAAATCAAAAAATAAATTTTTAAAGTGGGGAACAGGAGTTTTCAGCCAAGAAAGAAAGGGTTT